AACATTAGTTACTCTGTTTTTTGTATCAGCTGCCATATGCAGGCTAAAACTGAACTGTTTAGTCTATTTTATTATTCAAACAATAGATTTAAGAGGAAAACTTGTGTGTATACGTAACTAATATAATATATTTTAGTATCAGAAATTCTGAGTTGTAATTTCTAATCATTTATTTAACCAGTTGGAGTTTGCATATGTGACTAGCACACTGATGATTTTTCAAAATAAAACATACATTTTTTTGATATGCTGTCTTGTGATAAATTATAATTTAATACTAAGTTTAGCTTCTATACTGGAAAATGGGTTAGAAAAAAATTAATGACAAAACCTGGTTTATTCTTTTTATATGGAGTTTTAAAAACTAAGTAAGCATTTAAATAAGTATTCTGGATACTCTTTAACTTTCAAATTAATATTTTGAATTGTATTCACTGCAAATATATTTATGGTTTTAGGTCCAATGATACTGTAATTAGTCAAATCTAAAATTTGAAGATCCAGCAATTATTAGTAATTATTATTTAGAATTAAGTTCGTATTTTGTTCTTTTCATACGTCCAATATAGCTGTTAACACTTGAACTTTAAGCCTATTCTTTTTTTTTTTCCCCATCTACAATAATGGATAAAGAAGTTGAACCCTAAAAAATTGAGTGCTTTGCTCTGTATTGGTAGAGAAGTTTAACTAGTACCTGTATCCTTGTTCATATCAAGATTCTTTCCACTGTACCGTGCACTCCTTCTGAAGAAATATTTCAAGGGGCATTTATAAAGTACATCCTTAACATCCACTGTATTTACCAAGTGAATGAAAACAAAGTAGACATAAAATACTAAGACTCAAAATCATTTATTCTCATTGTTTTCAGCTCATTAGAGAACATATATTGAAGCAGCACATTTATATCATCAAAATTTATTCTGGTGCTAAACAGTTGTTGTTGTTGTTATGTGCTAAACAGTAGGGTGTTCTTAAACAGAACTGTGGTGAATGGATTATAGTAACAGGAATATTACCCATCATTCAAAGGTAGTATCACGATATTTACTTGGGAACTTAATGTGATTTAAGATCAGTAACATTTTGAATTCCTGTAAATGTATTTTTAAAGGAAAACATGCAAGAAAATGTTTGACCTTGAAATCTTAAAGAGCTACAAAATCTTTCAAAATCAATTTACTAGCGACATCTGCTGGTTCTGTGTTGTAATAAAGATGAAGGTATCTCATGGAAGTAATTTCATGGAAATGAAACATGAAAGAAGAAGTTTTGTGGACATAATTGTTTCTTTTACTATGATTCACATACTTTTTTTTGTCTTTGTGGGTTTTTCCCCCTTTAGCATTTGACCAAGAGTAATATTATAACCATAATATTAAGCTTATTTATGTTTTCCTATATATGGTAAATAATTCCATTCATTTACACCCCTGGCCCTCTGTAATTATTTGTGTATCAGCCAAGTTGTTTGATGTAATGCTGCAAATTCTTTTTCCTCTTTGTCTCTCCTGCCTCTTGTTTTATATCAACCTTTAGCAAAGAACCTTGCAATACAGGATTTCATAAATACAGATTTGCATAGACTGAATTTAATAGGAAAGTTTAAATACCCATCAGGTAAATGTATTATCTTTCTGCAAAATTGAAAAGCAAAATGAGACTTTATATTAGAGGAAGATTTTTATTAGAAGGAGAAATGGACTTTAGTTTTTGTTCTACAAGGAGAGATTTCTGCATTATAAATTTTGGAGTGGTAAAATATACTTAGTTTTTGTATATTTTCTCTCTCTAGGCTTATTTCCTGGATGATTGTGTCAAATCCTGTGCATTTAAAAATACTACATATGAACTAATTAGACTTCTTCCTTGAACACCAAACCCATATAACCACATGCTTACTTTTTTGACATATGCATCTCAACCTTAATATGTACAAAACAAAGTTAGGATTTTCTTCTTGAACCTGCTCTTCCCCTAATCTTCCTCATTTGAATAAAAGACCATCCATCCTTCCATTTACTCAAACCAAATATATTTTAATAATTTGTAAATTCTCTTTCATTTATGCATTTGCTCCATCAAGAACTTCTACTCCACTTTTGAATACATTCAGAAGGTGACCACTTCTCTCTACCCCTACCTTTTTATTCTAGTCAAGCCACTATCATCTTTCCTCTCCTAATTAGCTTCCTGGCTTCTAACCCTACTCTCCTGTAGTCTATTCTCTACCCAGCAGCAAGAGTGATTCATTTTAAATTTAAGACAGATCTTGTAACTTCTCTGCTGAGAACCTTCCAAAGTTCTTACCATACCTACACGGCCCTATATAAATTGTTAGACCTTTCTCCACCCCCATTATTGTGACTTCATTTCCCACCACAGCTTCCCTCCCTTATTCAGCTCCAGATACAGGAATCTACTTCCATGCCATGCAGACTCCTCATCAGAGGTCAGCATTTTTCTAAATGAATGCTCTTCTCCCACCTCATTGAGGTTTTTGATCAAATCAAATACTGCCTTCTCAGAGAGGCCCCTCTTGACCACACCAACTACAGCACTTTATCCCCTTATCCTGCTTTATTTTTTGCCCTAGCAATTACCACGGGATATATTTACTTTTTTTGTTATCTCTCTCCTCCAAGTAGAATGTCAGCTGTTTGAGAGGAAGGCTTCTGTGTTGCTGACTGTTACATATTTAGAACCTAAGCCAGTACCTTACGCATAGTTGGCACTTCGTTAATATTTGTTGAATAAGCCAATGATCCTTAATAGATAAATGGAGAATGTGGTTTGATTTACATTACAATAACTGAACCCATAGCATAGCTAGGTACCTTGTAATGGGGTCTGCTTTGTTTAAATCTTAACATTTATATGTTCTCCATTTAAAACAAATTACAATACTCTTCCTTAGTTAGGTTAATGCTCAGACAGGACTCTTGCTGTCAAAATGCAGGACTATTTTACTATTTTAAAGATACTTTTCATGGGAATAATTACTTTTTTGTTCTTTTGACATAGCCATCTGACTCTCAATTACATTAACAGACCTTATACACATGAATGGCAAGAAGAAAATAGCCTCTTTTGAATCTCTGCTAAGACTTTATCAATATGAAGTGCTTCCCACAGGGTTCAGCTGAAAGAACCAAACTTCCATCATAATGAAATTGCAAATTTATTCGTATATGCCTATAGTATATTTGAAAGCTACTTTTTGATGTTTTGGTCTGCAATTAAATTTATTGTTTAAGGTCACAAATATACAGTGTTGTCTAGACCAACTTGTCACAATCCTTTATCCAGCATCGCACAAAGATAAATGGCTGTCCGTAACAATAACATACCAAAGCCAAAATTTGTTCCCAGATAAACATAATCTTTTAATTAATCTTGGTGTTTTCCTACCCTCTCCCTGCCCCTCCTATCTAGAAATTACTGAATTGTAGGTTTTAAATTACTGACAAATATTTTCTTCAGATGGAAAAAGATAAAGTTAATTTTTTTTAATGCTATAATCTCTCCATAGGAGGTCTGGTGGTGTAGTACATGTACATTTTAAGCTCATTCTTTGTGAGGTAGGTGGATAATTAGGTAGTATGTGTGAACTAAATTCTGGGACATTTGTCATTGTTAACATGACCACAAAAATAGATCATGTTGTGTAATTAAATGCGTTTGTAAATCTTTTAAGCATTTTTGTGCACATGAATTAAGTTCTTTATCTGAGATTCTATAGTATCTCCGGTAAAAATGTCTATGTATTTTAAATTGGTAAGATAGATTTCTTCCATTTCCCTTGAGACCTTTCATACAAAAAACATACCGAGAGCTTTGCCCAATTAGATTTGAGAGTCTGCTCTTTGTTCAAGAATATCCGATGCCTGATATTAACATACATTAGCACATTATTTTATCACCAGTATTTATAGGTTCTCCAAGGGATTTGATACTAAATACCCAAGGCCCTTTCATAAGGTGATCATCCTACAGAGCAGGCTAAACACACGCAACAGCGTCAGGATGATGCAATAGTAGCCTATTAATGTCCCTGTTTTAAGATATTATTTAAATATTTTTAGCAGAGCTGAGAATCTTTTCTTCTTAATTACTATGCAATTTGAATGAAAGGACATACTGTTTTGAGAGGTTGTATAAGAGAAAATCAGGACTTTTGAGTCAGACAAACTTCTTTGTGGGAAGATTCTGACTCTTTTACGCATGTGATTACTGGAACGTTTCTACATTTTTCAAGTCTCTGAGCAGCTATGAAATAGAGAAACACCACACTTGTTCATGAAGTTGTGACATAATTAAATGAGATAACTTGTGAAATGACCAAAACAGTGCCCAGTAATAGAAAGCACTCAGTAAATATTATTTGGAGTCTTCTGTTTCTGGTCTTGTCCCCCACCTCTAGTAATGCATGAAAAGTGTTTAGAATGGTACCAGGATTGTGATGTCTCTTCTGATTGGGTTTAATCAGAAGTTAAAACCAGTGAACTAGACTTGAAGTCTTTCTATGCCTGCCAACTCTACATTACTCTGCATTCACTGAATTAATAAGGAGAGAAAAGTCAGGACCTTGAATTGACCTATATATAATACCCAGCAGGTGTATGTGGCCTTTCTCTTCACAGCAAATTGGTCTCCCAGGGATTGGAGAGAATGAAGAATGCTCCACTTTCAGCCCTTATTTGAAGTCCCAGTGGAGTCCTTAGAAGATTTACTTAATTCTCTCTTCAACCTACAGATCTGAGGGTTGAGCCTTAAGTTATGCTAATTTGACACAGGAAATCATTATCATTTTAATCATTTTGTGCAAGATGGCTTGCTTTACTGCTTACTGCTTGTTTGAACATTTGTAATGCTCAGACTATTGTCCTAAAAGAGTTTCACCTTTTAAAAAATCTCCGTAAACTTCTTTAATAACAACTTATTACTACTTTATATTCCAAAACACATTGTTTTATGATTGTAAATTTTTATTGTTTTAGGTGCAAAGATGGTTTGAAAGGATTTACATTCTCTGCGCTTAGGTAAGTTACATATTTAATTTAGCTAATTACATATTTAATTTACCTTTATGTTGAGAGAGTGTTTGCAAGTCACTTTTTCTTTTTCAAATGTAATATCTAAAAGTGATTATAATAAATATTCATTGACTCCATTTTTAAATTGAAAGTAATTTTTGAAGTGACAAAAGTGTTTCCAAGCATTAGTGGATAGTTCATTAAAAGGGAACTGTATCAGATTTTCTTTGCCCTGAAAATCAATAAACAGTCAATCAACAACTGTTTATTAAGGCCTATTACATGCCTTAGAAGCTCTGGTAGCGTAGGGCCTAAGGCATTTGACTGCTAACCAGAAGGCTGGTGGTTCAAACCCACCAGGCACTCCTTGGAAGGAAGATTGGGCAATCTACTTCCGTAGTGATACCACCTCAGAAACCCAAGGAGGGGTCGTGGATGTGACTTCATGGCAGTGAGTTAGTTATTACCTGCCTTATATGGTGGGATGTTAGAAAAGAAATATAAGAACTCTCTTTCTTCAAGGAGATTGGGAAGACAGAGCTACAAATGAACTGTTACTGGAAAATGAAGTATTTAATTGTGTGGCCCAGATTATGGACTTCTTTAGGATGGGACCTGTACATTTTGTGCATCACACATTGGACTGCAAGCTTCATTAGAATCTGTTCTTTTCCCCTCGTTCTCTGACTCTTAGCATGTTAGATACTGTAGAAATACTGACTAATGTTAGTATTGTATTTTATAGTTCACCAAGCATTTTCACATAGATGAGAAAATTTAATTTTTACAGTTCAGCTAGTTAAGTATGTTTATGCCCATGTGACAGGACAGAGTAAAGGCTTAAAATGCTTGACTACTTAGACATCACATAAGTGGCTATAGATTCTGACTCCAAATCCAACATTCAGTTTATGTCAGATGTTGCTATTTTTATTCCCCAAAGTACGTACAGACACACACACACACACACACACACACACACTGTTGGCGAGTCAACTTTGATCCTTAGTGACTCCTCCTTGGGTTTCTGAGGTGGTATCATTATGAAAGTAGATTGTCCAACCTTCTTTCTGAGGAGTAGCTGGTGGGTTTGAACTGCCAGCCTTCTAGTTAGCAGTCAAGTGCCTTAGGCACTACACCGCCAGAGCTCCCCTGTGAAGATTAGCAGCATGATATTTATTGGAGGTGTTCCCATTGCCATTGATTGAATTCAGACTCATAGCAGCCTTGTAGGACAGAGTAGAAAAGCCTCATAGGATTTCCAAGGTTTTAAATCTTTATGTAAGAAGTAGACTGCCATGTCTTTTTCCCACAGAGGGGCTGGTGGGTTCCAACCTCCTACATTTTGGTTAGTGGTCTAGTGCTTTAACCACTACATTACCAGGTTGTGGGAAGGAAGAATTTGGGTGGATTCAATACTAAGAGAAGTTTTATGTGATCATCTCACGGTTATTTTGAGGGTCAAAGAAGTGAATGCATCTAAAATATCTAGAGTAGTGTCTGGAACATAGGAAGTGCTCAAGAAATGTTGAGTATTATTGTTATTCTTATAGGTGGTAAGCCTTAACTATACTTGAAGGATAAGAGAGAAGAAAGAATATTCTGGGTGGAAGTGAATAATATTAGCAAAAGCATGAAAAGTGTAAACATGAAGTGTAAGATAAGAATGAGAAAATCAACTTAATTAGTATGGAAAGTTTATATTCAGGAATAGAAAAATGTCTTATTTGATAGGTAGAGTAGGACCAGTTTACAGAAAACCTAGGGGAAAAAAAGGAAGAAAACCTGAATTTGATAAGATGGGTAATAAGTAGTCATCGAAGGATTTTTTTAGCAGAGTAATTGATAGTGGTTCACAGAGATTAGTCTGTCCTCAGTATTTGGGACATTGAAAAAGAGAAAACCAGAGAGTAGATACAAGGGTGTGGGTGATGTTGGGAGGATGAAAAAGAAAGTGACAAAGTTGAGACTTGCAGTGGAAGAAAATGAAGGCAGCGACTAATATTTTCCCAGTTTCTCTTATCCTCTACACTTCAATCTCAGTAAAGTATTGAGACGCTGAGTGCCTGTAAGAAGGTGCTATTAACTGAAAATCAGATGGAATGCAAGGAAACTGGCTTGTAAGGAAAAAAATCACAATGCAATATTTTTGATTGTGGAAACTCTATAGTAATAATAACTGAGTCATAACACATAATAGTAATTGATTTATCTTATATTTTTCACCAAAATACCATGAAACTTTTTAGAAAATAACTTACTGTTGTTGTTGTTATGTTGCCTATGAAGGATTTTGTGATAAACTGAAAGTTTATAACAAAACCAGAAGTTATTTTTCCTAAAGGAAAAGAAAGACTTTGTTTTCCTGCATCTCTTCTTAGAATATCTACCCACTGCTATTGAGTCGGATCCAACTCATAGCGATCCTCCTTGGGTTTCCAAGGCAGTATCACTATGGAAGTAGATTGCCCCATCTTCCTTCCGAGGAGTGGCTGGCGGGTGTGAACCGCCAGCCTTCTGGTTAGCGGTCAAATGCGTTAGGCACTTTCAAAAAGGCAAAAATGTGCCAGATATTTTTGTATCTCTTCTTTAAATCCACTTATAATTAAGTAAAGGACTGGTTTGAACTATTTACACTTAAAATTTTCTCTGTATTACAGGAAAAATGTTTAGCATTTCTTGCTAGCACTCCTATTAGAGAAAGAAAATTATTATTTATTGGAATGTACTTATATTACACATTTCTTTCCAATAGACAGGTTTTTTTTTCATTTTATATTGCCCACATTGCAGATTGATTACTCATACAGTTATAATGTTGACACTCAGAAGAATATTACTAAAGCCAAATACATGTATTATTGTCAAGTTTCATGGTCAAAAAAGAATGTGGATTAATGTATGTAGTTTTTGTAGGTTTCCAAAAAAGTACTATCTGACATGACTATCTAACTCTACCTCTTTGCATTCTTGGCTGTCCTATATTTGTTGCAGACGTATAAAAATATAGCATATCAAAAACATGACATTTAATATAAATTACAAAAGCTAGAGGAAAGAAAAATGCTTGTTGTAGCCCAATGCAATAGGACTTCCTGCTGGTGAGGAAAAGCTATTCAGTGGCCTGTACATTTGAGAATGATGAAATTTAAAGGAATAGAACTGTAAAAAAGTTTGAAGGCCTGTTGGTAGCTCTGGTACTTGGACAGTGCTCATCTCATATAGATCATAATTCCTCAATCATGAAAACACACATTCTTCACTTAGGAAAAGAGTCCCTTATTTGTATAGCACAGGTATTTACAAATACCCCAGTTGGGTGTCTCCTAATTAAAAAAGGTAAAAAGTTTCAGAATATGAAACTTTTAGCCATTTTTTTAAGTACTCCTCAACACATGAATGATAGTATGGGAGCTTCAATATTTAGTACACCCACTCCTCGACACTTATCCACTTATTGACCCACTCTACTTACTAACATGATTAACTTGTAAAGACCAAGTCATTATGTGTAAATAACGTTATGTGAAAATAGAGGATGACCACATGAGATGACAAAATGGAGGATGACTACTTCATCACATAACTGTCAAATTATATCATTACATAATGGCCAAACCACTGAAAATCGTAGCCCAGCCAAATGGACACATAACTTTAACCATTACAGCCGACATTACTCTCATCTTGAACCTTGGTGTTTGTTACTGCCAGATGTACATTGTTAATGCACAAAATAGTTGAATAGTAGATTTTGTACTGTTGTCGTAAATACAAAATATTGGATAACAATATGGTCGATAAATGAGGGGAAGGTGTATACTTTTATTTCATCCCAGGTCTTATACTAAACATTGAGAATATACTGGTGAATGAGTCAGATACAGTCTGTCCTCAAAAGAACTTAAGGTTTACTAGAGAAGACATTTAACAAGTAATTAATTAAAATTGTTGTGGTGAATGTTATAAAAGAGTAGAGTGGTGGTTACTGCAGGGATATATTTTAGACAGGCTTAATTTAGTGCCTTTCTTCAAGCTGTAGGTAGGAGTAGGGGCAGAGAGAAAAACAGTAAATTGTAAAATAGAAAAGCTTAAGTGCTATAATAGAACAGAAACTAAGTGCCACACAATTCACAGATAACTTTTTTGGGGAAATGGGGTGGAAAGGAAAGAGCTTTGAGATTTTAAAAGACAGGTAAGATTTCAGCAGAGATATATAGGGAAGAAGAATGCAGACAAGAAGAGCAGCACAGGGACATGGCAAGTGTTCAATTAGCTATACAGGCAGTCCCCAGGAACATCCAACTTACACACAACCTGCAGTTACAAACCAACCCCTGTAAAGCCTATAATAGAATTTAAAATTATATTTTTTGTATAATTTTGTTGTAATTATATGATTATAAATATACAATAATTGTATATTATATATAATAATAGTGTACAGATAAATTAAAATCTGATTATATTAAAAATACCGAGGTACATACAATGGTTCATAGTAACAAACAGGCACATCAAAACATTATTATTACTGTATTATGTTAAAGATATTTTAGTGTATGTGGAAGTGTTTCCTTAGTGTTTTTTATGCATAGAAAGGTGATATATTATATATTAGGACAAACATTTCACTGACATTAGACACAAACCATATCTAACTGTTCTGACTTACGCACAAATTCAACTTAAAGGCAGACTCAGGAACAGAACTTGTTCATAATCTAGACACTGCCTGTAATTTATAATAATAGCTCATGCAGTAAGTGCTCACTCTGTGCTAGGCATGGTTTCAAGCTTTTTCAAGTTTTTATTTAGTAAGTCATAAACCAATGAAGTTCTTGAGAATGAAAACAAAGTGAGATATGTACTTTAGGAAGCTTCCTCTGGAAATTGTGTATAGGATGATTTGCAAATTATCCATATATGCAATTAATAAATGAAGTTACGGGTATGGATAGAGAAAGTCAAGGACGGAACTGTGGAAGAAGAGCCAGTGCTCCTGCCTCTGATATTCACTGGCTAGGTACAAGATGGCTTATTTTAATCATGTCTACTTCATAGTGTTCTTGTAAGAATTAAATTATTTAGTATTTGTAAAAGGCTTAGCACTGTGCCTGTCATATGTTAGCTACTACAATATTTACTTATTTAATAAATATTGACTATGTGCCAGACAATATACAAGGCACTGAGGATATGATAGCAAAGAAGATATACATAGTTTTATACATCCCACCATTTAGCAGGGGTATATTCTAGAGGGCCCTGGTGGCACAGTGGTTAACCTTTGGTTGCTAACTGAAAGATTGGCAGTTCGAACCCACCAGCTGCTCCACAGTAGAAAGATGTGGCAGTTTGCTTTCAGAAAGGTTACAGCTTTAGAAACCCTGTGGGGCAGTTCTACTTTCTGTCCTATAGGAACACTGTGAGTTGGAATTGACTCAGTGGCAGTGGGTATAGACTAATAAGGAGCCCCTTGGTAACACAGACACTTGACTACTACCTGAAAAGTTAGCAATTTGAAACTACTGACAGACACCTTGATAGACAGGCCTAGCAATCTGCTTCTGAAAGGTCACAGCCTTGTGAAAACCCTGTGGAGTAGTTTGCTTTGCATGTGGGATCACCATGAATTGGAATCGACTCAAGGGAAACTAACAATAACAAACATGGGATACTAAAAAGGTGCTTACATCTGTGGGGCTCATTGTACTAGGGGAGCAGCCAGGAAGGATCACTGACTAACACTGGGCTGGGGCAGGGACAGCTTCTCCAAGGAAATGATCTCTGATCTGAGATGGTTAGTCATGGCCAAAATAGCAGGTTGTAAAAGGTGTGAGAGATACTGTCCTAACTGTTCAGGACTGTACCCTTGTTCCTTAGAAGATCTGAAACTCTCCATGCACATCTATAATAAAGAAACAAATTCTTTTGGATTAAGTTACCAAGGATGCATATCTACCATGTGATAACAAAGAATCCCATTGCAAACTCTCTGTAATTTGGCATGCTAGGTAGTTTTACCAAGTTTGTCCTAAAGAAGTCGGGTTGTAGTTGTTGATGTTAACAGCTTATTCTCTTTCTCTTTTCAGAGTTTTAACATTTTCATATTATGTTTATCACAAGCCCCATGTTCCAATAGGAGCTCTGGTAGCATAGTGCCTAAGGCATTTGACCGCTAACCAGAAGCCTGGCTGTTCAAACCCACCAGCCACTCCTCGGAAGGAAAGTTGAGCAATCTACTTCCATAGTGATACTCCTTGGAAACCCAAGGAGGGTCGCTATGAGTCGGGTCCGACTCAACGGCACATAACAACAACAACAACATGTTCCAATATTTTACTGTAGTGTTTTTAATAGTGTGTTTTATCTATATTTTATGATGTTTTCTGAAAGTTCAAAAAGTAAGCTTTCCTCAGAAAGCTTAGTTATCCTTTATAAGAGGAAAGGGAGCTCTGGTAGCATAGTGGCTAAGGCACTTGACTGCTAACCAGAAGGCTGGCGGTTCAAATCCACCAGCCACTCCTCGGAAGGAAGGTTGGGCAATCCTACTTCCGTAGTGATACTGCCTCGGAAACCCAAGGAGGGGTTGCTATGAGTCGGGGCCAACTCGACGGCAAATAACAACAACAACAACAACAAGAGGAAAACTCATATAGTGTAAACCGTAGTAATAAAAACTGATAAAAGATTCTGCTAGACTTATTATCTAAAGGTGATAACATTTTTTTGCCTTGTCTTTGGAAAAACAGTTCTGTTTTGATGAAAGAGAATGGTGTCTTCTTCTAGTTATATGATTTTTTTCAAAGATAAATATGTAGGTTAGAGTGATACCAAGTTTATGATTTTTCTGATAAAATAATGTGAGGATACATGCAATCTTGACTGTTCTCTGATTCTCGTTCTTTAGTTCTTGTATTTCTCTGTGTCTGTGTAGATGATCTTATATTGCACTGTAGCTATTTATGATTCAAAGCAACATGGGACTTAAATTTAGAGGAAAAAATGAGGAACCTATTCAGTTGTAGCTACAAACAAAATTGAGAGACAAATAGAGTTTTTGTGTGATTGACTAGTAGTTGTTGTTGTTGTTAAGTGCCGTCGAGTCGTTTCCGACTCATAGCGACCCCATGCTGACTAGTTGTTGTTGTTGTTGTTATGTGCCGTCGAGTCAGCCCTGACTCATAGCGACCCCTCCTTGGGTTTCCGAGGCAGTATCACTA